TAAATTCATCAGCAACAATTTTGTCATCTTTGGAATAATTCCTTTGAGAAGCGGACTTCTTGGGTATGCACAAGCGGATTGCTCTCCAGAGGCAATTAGAGTTGTTTTTGTTGTTTACAACTTGCTCCGCGATGAATATTTTCTCAGCCGTCCTTATTTCATGTTTGACTTCGCGACAAAGGTTTTTGTATTCAGACCAAGCATGTGGATCTTTGTTTTTTTGGGCTACCTTCTTCCAATGACCAGGGTCATGAACTAATAACACACCATGGTCACATACCACGGTCACTCTATCGCCGACCATGTTTGAACATGGTCGGCAATGAAAAGCCCTGGTACCATGGTCAACCTCTTGCCGGGAATATGTTGCGCATGCAGGAGTTACTAACCCCATAACCAACTCAAGCCTTTCGTTTCTGCCTTCTTGAGCTGCATGTGTGTTCATCTAATATAAAGGTACTCAAATACAGGAGATTGGCAAAAATTAACGCTTACAGCAGAGCTTTCGATTACTATACGCTTAACTTCTTCATTGCATAAAGCATTTTAGTAGTGGACAGCAACAACTCTTACATTTAAATGGTTTTACTATGCATCAAAAGATAAACTTCTAAACGACTGTATCAGGGTGGCATTGGAGGTTTGTGAATTTCGACTTCAAGTGTTCATTCTCTTCTTAATTTTCCGTACATTTTTATTTTCTCCGAAAAAAAGTAATAAGTTTTCGGGAAAATTCGACTAAAATGCTCGAACAGAAATGCTTAATGCTTTTACATATTAAATCAATGAAAAAGCCTATGTACGATAAGCATTAGGCAAGTGTTTTAGTGACTTTCTTGGGGGAGACGGAGAATTTTGGTGGAAATATGGAGCATTTTAAAGGTGGAGCGTGAGTGAATGTTACTCGCGGCACTTTTAAAAGGTTTAAAGCTACTTATTGTTACTTTTCACAGATCAAAAGAAACAAATTATGGACAAAATTTACAAATACGACGAAAGTTGAATACCACGTGCTTTCCACTGTCACTGACCGGTCGGACCTGAGTGATGAAGTGGCTTTCATGTGCGCCAAGCTTCCCATTTACCGCGTCAAAAAGACAACACCTTTTTCCGTAATGGTCAGACGTAAGTGTTATCATTTATTACTTATAATTGGAAATTATCGAATGTGTGTTAACGATAGCAAAGTGACATTCACCTAGTTATTGCTAAAAACTATAAAGAACCACAGTCGAGTTTCGGTTTAAAACTCATTTCTTTGAAATATAAATGCTGAATTATGGAGAAAGAGACGTTAAAAACAGCTTATTTATACGATAATTAATTTTTCGCTTGACATAGGTCCGGCTATGAGGTTGTCAATCGGTGAAAATGACATTTAGTCCATGAGCCAAATCCTGCAATGTTACCCAAAAAATGATTTTCGTAGCACTCCCTTTGGGACCAAGTAATTTTGGTACCAAATTGAAGCTCATTGACTATGTTTTATGAATTCACTTGTTCCCCGGCTGGCAACTTGCACGTTTAGGAGATAAGGAGGCGTTTTTAACGGGGGAAGTGTGGGGAGCATTTTGTATTATTAACATCGGTGTTATCAAAAAACAAATAACTTTGTAAGTAACCATCAAATATGGGTAAAAACTTGCATTGCTTCTTAACAAGTTTATACTTTAGGGGCACCCAACGTCAATTTTTGGAAAATATCTGTTCGGAAGACGATTTGAGATCTAGAATTAGTAAAATTTCTTACTTGCCTACCTCTCCTAGGATTTTCGAACATCTAAAAAATGGTATAATTGCCCATTTTAAACTGATTTTTACCCTAAAAAGGTCACCTAGAATTTTCGGGAGCCTTTTTTCTGGCTGAAATGTTCGAAAAGGTAAGTTTTGATCCCTATAATTTTCGGATCACTAGACTTTCAGCTAGGAAATCCGAACAGATGAAAAATGTTTAGGGGAAAAATATGCTTACATCTATCGTTTAAATACTAAAATACGGTCAACAATGCTATATTTAAGTGGTTTTGAACTATATTCTCGTTAGGTGCCCCTCATACTTATTACAATTCAACTTTTTATTTACGCTGCAGATTACCATGGGAAAGGTTACTATCACTTGTCGCTTAAATTTAAATAAAAGACTCACTTAATTTTACTTACTTACGTTGCAGGTGTAAAGCGCTGCCACGGACCAATAACAACAACTGTGACTTACGTTTGCGGACAAAAATGTTCTCCTCCAGTTCAGTTGCCAGGAGCCGTACAACGTTGTTACCCGATTTATTGTACCAGAGTAATAATCCTCAGAAAATGCCACTAAAACATGAAAACTGCTGGAGGACTGCTGCAAAAGCGAGTGCAGTGATTATAGCTTTAGACTGGAGAAATGATTCTACCTTGCTACATAAACAAATTCAAACTGTTAAATATAATTTTACAGATCTTGGTGACAAAATATGCGCTAACAAATCAATCAGAAACATTAAAAGAAATTTGGGTAAAAATATATATTCAAAGCTTTTTTTTACCATGAATTGTATTTTTCCACTCCCTTCAGGGCCTTAAAACTTATAACATGAAATTTTGGCGACACTTTTAATTAGCTAATTCAGCGCATTTTGTTTGTAAAAATCGTTAAATTGAAATGCACCCGGGGAGGGGGAGGGGGAGGGGGAGGGGGAGGGGTGAACTCGTCAATCGCTCCTATAGGGATCGCGCGGCGGATGATCTTGCCCATTGTGACATCACGAGAAATTTATCCCGGGAACTTTATATGGTTTCATCGCGCGAAATTGTTTCGTGGTTTCAAGTGGTAAACGTCGAGATGTGCGATGAAACGACCAAAGGCATGTGTTTACCTTTTAATGCTATATCATGTAAAATGGCATGTAGTTTTTCCAGGAACACCGGAACACCGGAACACCGGAACATCCCGGAACACCATCTAAAACCCAGAACACCCCCCAGAAAACCCGGAACACCCCCCAAAAAACCAGGAACATCTTCCAAAATACCAAGAAAAGCGCAAAATCTCTAAAACCAATCGTGCAAGTATTTTACAAAATAGGTTTTTGCTGCGTGGTACTCGTATGAAATTATAAGTTCTAAAAAATGTATGTTTCGAGTGCCAAATTTCAATGTAAAATTGTCAGACGTTAATAAGAAACAACAACAACACCAATGTATTGATTTAAAGAAATATAAAGTTTACAATACTTTATGTCCTGCAAATAGCTATAATGCTAATCTAGACAGGGCAAGACTTTAAATAAAGACGTTTATTTTAAATGAAATACGAAAAAAGAAAAGAAAAGAAATACAAAAACATACAGAAAGAAACACCTTACATATAAATTCAAGTACAGGGGATTTTGTTATTTGAAAAAGACTAAAATTACAACTGGAGGTATACACAACATATCAGGTTACGTTTCGGGAATAACCCCTTCATCAGTGTAAAATGTCTGCCTCAACGCCAAAGCTTGCACTTAGCACTTGCGTGCGCGCCGTTCAAAAATAAACAAAACACTGAACGCACATAAGTGAAAGGAAATAAAATGATGTTTGAGCCTCGTGGGACACTTATAATAAAATTTAAAATGAAAATCTAACATAAAAATCTCAAGTCAATGTTCATGCCCTGAGGCTTCAAGGTCTTGTGGCGGAAAATCATTTTCATTTCCTCTCTCCGGCGGCTGGCAGCAACACCCATGATTTTTTTGACCACGGACACCGACATGTCATGGGTGGAAGTAAGTTACCGTTTTAAAATTTAAATCATCATCATCATAAATTTAACAGCCACGATCCCTCTGAAAGATTTCAAGACATATTTGATAAACCAACCAGATGCGACAGTTGAGGGTATCTATGGAAAATCAATAGAGCTTTTAGGCAAACACAACGCAGTTGTCCTGGCACCAGGCTGTGATGAAACGGCTCGGATGGTCGAGGGCCGGAGATATAAGGAACGTAGGTAGAAGAGCCCCTGAGTGGAGCGAAAAGTTCTACATATGACAGACAAGATGCATGGCAGCCCATGTCTGACCCATGCGAAATTAAATTCCTTGTAATGTAGAATTACGAATGTAAAGTTTGAAGGCATCAGACTTCCATCGGCTAAGAGCGCGAATCTGGGCGTCAGAAAAACCTTTGTCTGCTGCGAGACAGGCTGCGCCGATGCGAAAGCTGTGACTTTAATAGCGTTGAGCATTCAAACCACAAAAATTCAAGCAGCGCCTAAGTTCGGTGTTAAATTGGTCAACCGTAATGGGAGTATTGTCTGCATGGCAAAAGAGGGGACCGGGTTTGTTACCCCGGAAATTGCAATACCGGAGTATAAACTTCACAGGACAAAAAGGTGTAGATCCACCACCAGGAATAACAATGTCAAAAGGGCGATTGCTTATATTATGTTTGAAATGAGTGATTGTGATCTTAATAGAGTGGATTTTTAATCGGATGTTATCGTACGGAATTACGGTAGTGTGACACGCGCTCCTGGCCGCTAGTTCACCGATACGAAGGAAACCATAGAAGCCCGGGGGGGGGGAACTCGATATATCCCTGGGTGGGGAGGTGCGGCGCGGCCCCTCATACCCTGACCCTGTTTAAGACAAATATCGCTGATTTTCCTACCCTGTTTAAGACAGAATTCCGATTTTTGACACCCTGTTTAAGACAAAAATAGATAAATCGATACTCTGATTAAGACAAAAAATTATAAATTCGATACCCTGCTTAAGACAAAAATCCCGAAAAACATACCCTGGCTGGCCGCACGTCCCCATTAAACCCTTATAAGGGAGTACCCCCCCCCCCGGGCATAGAAGGCTGTGAGAAACATGGCTGAAAAAAGTATACGCTGTGCTGCCGAAGAGTTGGTGTGCTGGAGAGAGCTTACGAGGTCATGCAAGATAGGCTTAGATATCGGTAACCTGACATCACACGATTTCTGATGACTGAGCGAGGTCAAAAGTTTTTGACCTTGTGGATCAGGTATGCTAATTCGAGCCGGCCACGCTGTTCGAGCCTCCGTCGTTTTCGCTCTTGTTCTACTCTACACTTCCCAACCTGGATGCTGGGACTGTAGGAGATCATGTGTAAGGACTGATCTTCTCCCGTATGCTGGTCTGAAGTGGATACAACCTTTCCTACCGCCGGAAGCCCTGCATTTTTGTTCCATCTACGGCAATATTAAACTAGTAGAGCTAGTTTGAAGGACAATGTGGCTAATGAGCCATTGTTATCTGGTGTTGTGTCGGAGAGCTGCTTTGTCATCCGTGATAACCGGGAATGTTGTGCATCTCGTATCAAGATCAAGCGAAGCAAATGCCGGTGTGCATATTACTCCAATTCGACCGCGAAATTCCAATGCCTACTCCAAGGCGACCTGGTATTTAAACTAAATCCCGGTCCCATGGGTGATCAATCAACCATTCACGCTCATTGTTCCGTTACACTTCGTCGCGTCCCATTGTCCACCAGAACAAGGAACCACTCGAATCTTAATACAGTTAAGAAAGCGCCAACAACAAAGCATTTCAACTCGCCAATTCTTGAAAAACAGGACAACAGGGCATTCCAGTTGTGCAGTTTGAATGCAAGATCATTAAGGAATAAATCAACGGCTTTTGTGGACTTGGTATGTGATTTGAGGGCTGAGTTGTTTACGATATGCGAGTCCTGGCTCCATGATCTTGACTCTGCGATTTTAAGTGAGCTCACTCTTCCCGGTTATTCGAAGCTCTACCACTGTCCTCGCGCTGATTGAGGGGTGACGGGACTGCGCTGTTATATCGGGACGGTCTGGATGTAAACAAAGTGTTTTCAGCCGAGCGATCTTCGTTTGAAGTGTCGGAATGGCTTGTGGTGTTCGGATCTGTTCGTCTGCGTGTTGTCATCGTGTATAGGCCAACATACTCTGCGGAGCATCCCGTGACTACGAGTGTTTTCTTTCATGAATTCTCAGTCTATCTCGAGTCGTTAGTCATGTGTAATGAGTTACTGTTAATATGTGGTGATTTTAACANTCTTAATACAGTTAAGAAAGCGCCAACAACAAAGCATTTCAACTCGCCAATTCTTGAAAAACAGGACAACAGGGCATTCCAGTTGTGCAGTTTGAATGCAAGATCATTAAGGAATAAATCAACGGCTTTTGTGGACTTGGTATGTGATTTGAGGGCTGAGTTGTTTACGATATGCGAGTCCTGGCTCCATGATCTTGACTCTGCGATTTTAAGTGAGCTCACTCTTCCCGGTTATTCGAAGCTCTACCACTGTCCTCGCGCTGATTGAGGGGTGACGGGACTGCGCTGTTATATCGGGACGGTCTGGATGTAAACAAAGTGTTTTCAGCCGAGCGATCTTCGTTTGAAGTGTCGGAATGGCTTGTGGTGTTCGGATCTGTTCGTCTGCGTGTTGTCATCGTGTATAGGCCAACATACTCTGCGGAGCATCCCGTGACTACGAGTGTTTTCTTTCATGAATTCTCAGTCTATCTCGAGTCGTTAGTCATGTGTAATGAGTTACTGTTAATATGTGGTGATTTTAACATTCATATGGACGTTCCATCTGACGCTGACACCATCCGGCTCAAGGACCTGTTGAACTCTATGGGTCTGGTACAGCATGTCAAACGACCCACGCACATACATGGCCACACCTTAGACTTAATTCTTACAAGGCAGGCTGACGATATTGTGGACGGTGAGCCCCTTCCTGAGAGATATTTCTCTGACCTTGCGGCCGTGATATCTAAGCTAAGTGTGGCGAAGCCTCCGCTAAGAATTAAACATGCTGAATACAGGAAACTCAAATCAATTGATATAACTAAACTGGAAGAAGATATCCGCAATTCTCAACTATATCAAGACCCGTCTAATGATTTGAACATGCTGCTCGACTGTTATAACACGACTTTAAGATCACTATTAGATGATCACGAGCCCGTTTGTTCTCGTCATGTCTCCACTCGACCCAGGCCCACGTGGTTCAATGAAGACATAATTCAGGCTCGTAGGGACAGGAGGAAGGCTGAGAGAAGATGGAGGGCAAGTGGTCTCCAAGCAGATCTTGTAGTATTTAAAGCTAAGCGACATTATGTCATACATTTGATGAATGAGACTTGATGTGTATTACAAGGAATTGATTGACGAGAACAGTTCGGACCAATCAAAGCTGTTCCGGGCTAGCAAGAGCCTACTAAATCTGCAAGCGGACAAGTCTCTCCCACCTCACTGTGACGCCTCTGTTCTTGCAAATGAGATGGTTGAATACTTCATCCATAAAATAGTGGCTACTAGATCAAAGCTAGCTGGTGACACGGTCTCTCCTGCGGTTACTGAGCGGGCGCCTCACGGTTCATCGAGTAGTGATGACCTTGTCACGCTATCAGAGTTTCAGCCTCTCTCCGAAGAGGCTGTAAGGAAGATGGCTGTGGCTTCTATGAAGACATGTACTCTGGACCCTCTTCCATCATCCATCTTGTTGGTTTGCATATATGGAGGAGTTACTTCCAGTGATTAGTAGGATGGTGAACGTATCACTAGAGAATGGCTACTTTGCAGATGACTGGAAAAGGGCAGTAGTACATCCTCTGCTCAAAAAAACTGGTCTTCAATTGATAAACAAGAACTTTCGGCCTGTGAGTAATTTACAGTTCACGTCCAAACTCACAAAGAAAGCGGTTGCAGTACAATTACAAGAGCACATGCTAGTCAATGGCTTGTTTCCAGAATTGCAAAGTGCTTACCGCCAACATCATAGCACTGAGACCGCACTACTCAAGGTAAAGAACGATCTCCTAATGGCGATGGATAAAGGTCAAGTTACGCTGCTGGTGCTTCTCGACTTAAGCTCTGCATTCGACACCGTCGAACATGAGATCCTTCTGGAACCATTGAGGTCAACAATTGGATTGCGGGGGAAAGTACTTTCATGGTTTGAGAGTTACCTTAAGGGCAGATCGCAGCAAGTGTCTATCAACGGAACTCTCTCAAAGCCATTTGATTTGAGGTGTGGAGTTCCTCAAGGGTCGTGCCTGGGCCCGCTTTTATTTACCATCTGCATGAGTAAGCCGTCCCAGATTCTAAAACACCACCTGCCCTCCGTCCATACTTATGCTGCCGATACACAGTTTTATTTGTCATTTAGGCCCTCTGACTCTTCCTTTGAAGTCGAAGCTGTATCAGCCATGCAGAAGCGCATCTGCGATGTCAGAGCATGGATGAGGGAGGATCAGCTGATGCTCAATGATGACAAGACTGAGTTCCTGATTATAGGTACTCGTCAGCAGCTCTCAAAAGTTTCAATCCAAAGCATCAAGATTGGGCAGACTGAAGTCTCTCCTGTAGCCTCTGCGCGCAATTTAGGCACATGGTTCAATACGCATCTAGATATGGGAACTTCACATTACAAAGACTTGTACCAGCGCTTTCTATTATTTATACAATATACGTCATATTAGTAAATACTTATCCAGAGAACCAACTGAGAAATTAGTTCATGCTTTTATTAGTAGTAGATTGGATTATTGTAATAGCCTTCTGTATGGAATTCCGGAATATCAGACTATGAAATTGCAACGTGTTATGAATGCTAGTGCAAGACTTATATATCGTGCGAACAAGTTCTGTCATATAACACTCGCAGAATTACATTGGTTACCAGTGCGCTCCAGAATACATTATAAGATACTCTTGATAACTTTTAAAATTTTGCATGGCCTATCACCTAAGTACCTTTGAGATTAAATTAGTATTCAACAGCCTTCGTCCTACCATTTGAGGCGCAACGACAATGGTCGTTTGTTTGAAAGACCAAGTGTGAAAACCAAGAAAACATTGGGAGACAGAGCTTTCCAGGTAGCTGCTCCTTTCCTATGGAATACGCTGCCAAGGTCCGTGCGCGAAGCAACAACTTAGAATCTTTTAAGACTTTCATTAAGACATTTTTATTTAAGGAATCATTTCAGTTATCTTAGTATATCTATATCTTTATTTGTAATTATCTTTTACTCATTTAATGTCAATATTTTTTATGATTTTTATAGCAAGATTTGTAAAATTTTACTTATTAATTACTGTTGTGATGCGCTTTTGAATATTTTATACATAAGGCGCAATACAAATAATAAATGTTATTGTTATTGTTATTGACGTAACCAATAGCCGATAGATAAGAAAGCATAGTCGAAGGCAAAAGATATCTACCGTCGAGAAAAGAAATAAAAAGCGCCAAAGACGCGGTGGTTAACGGTAAACGGAAGTCTTTTGTCTCTTAAAATTTCTCGTGAAATTCACGAAATAGTGTCCACGCTCTACGGTATGACTAACCCGAACCTGACGCCAATACCGAGGTTTATAGTTCATGGTGGAAAGCCAGAAGTGCACCGGTAATATACACTCTGTGTAATATGTAGTATTGTCTCTTCTCTCTAATAGCTAGTGGTAGTTACTAGTAGTTGTCGGTAGTTACTTGTAGTTACTAGTAGTTGCTATTAGTTATCGGTAGTCACTAGTAGTTACTGGTAGTTACTAGTAGTTACTAGTAGTTGTCGTTAGTTATTAGTAGTTTCTGGTGGTTACAAGTCGTTGCTAGTAGTTATCGGTAGTTACTACTAAGCTCTTTGACTCATACCGTCTTGATATCTTATCTTATCTAAGCGGAAACATATGACATTTAGCCTATGCCTCCTAAGCCCAAGCGCACGTCTCAAACACGCACGCGAAGTTCTGCGAAGCGGGCGCGTGTGACAGAACTGATCGAAACCCGCCCTGGACCGAGTGCTCAACAACAAGCTGAAGCTTCAACAGAGCACCCTCTCATGGCCGTTAACATGCAGGCCCTCTCGACCTCGATTTCTAACGCTGTACAGCTAGCTGTCGCGGAGGCAATGAAAGCGCAATGGGCAGCCGCACCTAACCAGGGGACACAGTCCTCCACGGACCAGTCAGTGGCCAATGTAGTAAACGCATCCTTGGCCGAGATCACCCAAGGTACTCCACCACGTAGCGAATACATTGTCACCTTAGCTGAGCCTGGGTTAGACTCGCAGGCTCCGAAACAAATTTTTTCCAGCGTGGCTGTTTCTCTTAGCAGTCGGGTGAGTTCCAAAGTCAAGGCCAAAATCTGGTCCAACGAATATCTTGATTAAGGAACTCTCCTCTCGTTTTCTCCCAATGATCAAAAGTATTCTCTGTCTCTCGCCTCTTCGGATGGTGAGACCACCCGCCCTAAATTAACTTTAGAACCTAGCCAACCAGTTAAAAAGATCCTAACTATCAACCAGTGGCTCTCCACATTCAATATTTTTGTTGCGATCTATTCGGAAAAACTACCCAACGAACACACCCAAGCTGATGAAATATTGTGAAATTGTCCGCGATATCGCTGCCAAACCAGGTGACTGGTTGTATTATGACGAACAATTTCGTTTCATAAGGCAATCAGCCCCTACACAATACCCATGGGACGCTATTCACTGGGAACTTTGGCTAAAGGCTGTGACAAATTTTGGTCCGAAAACCCAATTTTCCTCGGACAAGCGACCACTGCGCTCCCGCTCCCAGTCCTTTCCAAGAGGCACATGCTGGCGTTTCCATGCGGGCAAGGTGTGCAACGGGTGTCGTTTCGAACACATTCGCTGTAAGTGTGGCTCAAAACACCCTGCCGCACAGTGTTCCTCCAGCCAACCTAAAACACACCCCGTCAAAGCAGGCATATCAAGCGTCGCTGCACAAGCTAGTAACACCCGTAAAGGTGGATCGGCTTAGTTTCCTTCTTAGCGGATACGAAACTTCTCTCCGCCTTTATTTAGTTAATGGGTTTACTTTTGGTTTTCACGTTGGTTTTGATGGGGAACGCTGCGCGTTGCACTCACCCAACCTTAAAAGCGCTTTAGACCAACCGCAAATCGTTCGGACCAAACTACGTAAAGAGTGTGAGGCAGGGAGGATATGTGGTCCCTTTATTTGCCCTCCTTTTCCCAACTTCGTTTGTTCTCCTTTAGGCACTGTTCCCAAAAAAGACCCCTCTGAATTCCGTTTAATTCAACACCTATCGTACCCTCAGGGCACCTCAGTAAACGATAACATACTGGACGCACATTCTTCGGTTCACTACGCTTCTATTTCTGATGCCATTGCGGTAATTAAAAGTTTAGGGGCTGGTTGCTTTTTGGCCAAAACCGATATTAAATCGGCTTTCAGGATTATTCCAATTCATCCGTCCGATTTTCCTTTGCTAGGCATGAAATGAGATAATCAGTTTTACTTTGACGTATGTCTTCCAATGGGACTGTCTTCTTCGTGTCAAATTTTTAAAGCTTTTAGTTCTTCCTTCGAGTGGATCTCTGTGCACCGATTTGGCGCATCCGGAGTTCTTCACATTCTTGACGATTTTCTTTTTATTGCGCGCACCATTTCATGCCTAGCAAAGGAAAATCGGACGGATGAATTGGAATAATCCTGCCCATTGCGCTTTCATTGCCTCCGCGACAGCTAGCTGTACAGCGTTAGAAATCGAGGCCGAGAGGGTCTGCATGTTAACGGCCATGAGAGGGTGCTCTGTTGAAGCTTCAGCTTGTTGTTGAGCACTTGGTCCAGGGCGGGTTTCGATCAGTTCTGTCACACGTGCCCGCTTCGCAGAAGTTCGCGTGCGTGTTTGAGACGTGTGCTTTGGCTTAGGAAGCATAACTTAGATAAATAAAAGTAATTAGATTAAGATAAGGCTAAATGCCATATGTTTCCGCTAAGATAAGATAAGATATCAAGACGGTATGAGTCAAAGAGGAGCAAATTAATTGAAGGTCTGAGCTGGGATGTGTATTTTTCCTTAGAGGTTTGTTTGTTTTTGTTTTTATAACAAACGGTTATGTGGCTAAGCTACGCACACATAATGGTGACGAATAGCCGAACTCAGCTGAAAACCAAATGGCGAGCCATGTAGGAAGAATTGAGTGACATAAATGCCTGGTAAAAGAATATCAAAGTGCATTGAGGACACACCCAAATAAGGGCGGTCGAATAGGATTGCACACTCATAATATTCACCAGGACACAAAGTATGAATAAGGCCAACGCCAGCAAATACAAACAGTTATGCACGAAGGGCAAACAACAGTTCTGTAGAACTGTAAGAACAATTAGTGCAGCCAAAATAGAATGCGCCCAATTAAATGAAGGCGGCAAATCAGTAACATAAACGGCTGTCACTAAAACAAAGGCATGGCGAGGCAAGTACGTAAACTTTAAAAGGCTCGGTTGGGAAATGAAATGAAACGTTGAAAATTCAACAAGACGAAATTGTGCTGAACAGGCTCAGGGACCTTAAGATTGCTCCCTTAAGACTACGATGGTATTTTTTCTGACCCAAGGAATTTTTGATGCACACCATCACGTGCGTAAAAGTTCTTAGTCGGGCGCCAAAAACCCCTATGGTCCCCCAAAATAGCATAAGGTATAGGCTCTAAAACTACCCGAAGGTATTTCGTTAACAGCTTGGCCTTACGATTAAAGACTACTGCGCCCTGGCGCATGATGGTCTGGCACACGCAGACAACCTTAACACCGTAGGTTTCATGCAAGAGCCTAACAAAATCTTCAGTGGCTAAGCCAACATGTAAAGGTTCAGAGTCTGTTAAATCATTGGAATCCAACTGCATTATAACGATTTCCGGTCGAAAGGACTCGATAATATTCAAGTCAAGATGTAACGTTTTGGAAACCGTACGGCCACCTACTCCGTGCCATTTTATAAAGGCACGGTGAGATAACTTGAAATCAACGCGAAAATGGTGGGAATCACGGGACAGGAAAAGGCGCAAACGGCGAATAAAATAATCTCCCAGAACTAAAACACGCGGCTTAGCCATTGAACAATAGAAAAGATAAAAGGAAAAGAGGGTACTTGCCTAAAAAATGGTGAAAATTGGTTCAAACAAGCGATATGAACAACGTAATGGTGAGCGATCTGTATTACAGAGAAATATCCTTTGCTTAAACAAGATGGAACAGCCTTCAAGTGTTTCTGGTGTAATTATTATAGCGGAGCTCAGGCGCGCGAAGCGCGCCTGCGGAGCACCATGGGTAAGTAAATCTACCCATCCCAGAAAATTTGGTAATCACGTGACCGTACACCACCCGCCCGCCCGCTGCCCGTCCGTCCGCGCCACAGAGAAACCAATGTTCAATCCCACACTTTCTAGCTAGTTTGGGAGCACAGGAAGACTGATATTGCACACATGTGCCGCACAATTAAAATTTTGATTTCAAACTGACCTTGGAAGCTAAGATTCAGCCAGTTTTTACAGGCAGGGAAGACATGCCAGTTGCTTTTGACTTTTCTCACCAAGGTCACGTGTTGGTCACGCTCTACGTCCAATTTTTATGCTCTGATTGGTCAAAATTTGACAGGTGAGTTCATGCGGAAAATTTATGCAGCATCTTGAAACTTGTTTACTTTGAAAGCTGAAGCTGACAGAGTTTTGTGTCAACTTGTGATGTTTTCAACTGTCTTTTTCTACTGAACATTGTACAAAATGAAATTCGGCTGCTATCAAGAGTCTTCTGTTATTCATGGCTAGTTTGTTTATCGGGTTTTTGGTTGAGAAATACGTCGGTTGTCAAAGTCGGAAATCCGATTTCGGATGGCGTCGTTTTCGTTTTTCAGCTTGCTTGATGCGTAAGAGGGTTGAGAAGTCTGAAGCGATTTTGGCCTTACTTGATAGTTTTCAGTGCATCTCGAATGGTAAGCCTGAGTAATTATTTTATTTGATGTTTGTTTTTATATCTAATTCAATGAAGTCGATTGTAGTTTATGGGACTATTTAGTTTATGAACGTTTTTAAGATTTGAGACAATGATCTGACCGAGTATCAGGTTTGATTTTAAGCTTATAGAACTTTAAAAAGCCTTCAGACATTTTCTCACCGCAAATAGAAAAAAAAAAGGCCAAAAGAATATTTAGTTATAATTCTGGCTGTAAAAGAAAGCTTTGAGCGATTTTCTTGCCTCAAGTTCATCTTTGAAAACGCAAACACCGGGAAGTCGGCTTAAAACATAAACAAGGATTTTCAGAGACACTTTAATACTTGTCTTCGTGAATGAAAATTGTTGTCTCTGTATATGTTTCACCGAATTATTTTCCTTTGCAATTTTCATCGCTGTTGTGCCGTTTGTTTTCAGTCGCTCATGAACATAGCTTGCAGGAGTAGTCAAAATGCCGCGCGTATCAAACGCTTTTGAAGATTACACATCGTTATAAAGCCATTATGTTGAAGCGTATAACTGTGTTAATCTTAATTTAACAGTCGACTTTGGCGCTTGTCAAAAGTGAGAACCGGCTCGCCGTATAGGTGATTTGGAAATTTTTTTTAACAGTTTCGCTAACGCGTGCTTCGATCGTCCTGAATATTGAATGAGTGCAATTTGTATTGCAAAATTGTGAAATACCGTCATTCTGTCCGAGGTCTGTATGATAAAAATAGCGCCTCATGGTACTATTTCACCTCAGATGGGATGTATAAAAAGTATAAAAGGTTGGTTTACACGTCCCCAGACTTGTTGGCAAGATTTTGTAAAGTAGACTTATCGAACGCAAAAAATTCGGCGTGATTTGTTTTGCTAAAGTAATGTGATCAAGAACCATTATGGCTATGCTATTTTTAGGTGTACATATAAGGCTATCAAGTCGATGTAAGGTTAATTTCACCCTTAGCTTGGACTGTTTGCAAATTATTTTTCTCTAAAATTACTTAGGCTTTCCGTCAAAAGTCACATGAATGTGCTCTAAAGTTAACTGATTTGTGGAATACAAGTTTACAATTGTTTGATTTAAATTATAAATTCGAGTTAGTAGGAGCTTCCTTCAGCCCTGGCTAAATCTATATATTAGATACATAGTGTTAAGGGAAGTCTTTGGTTTCCATTTTCTTAAAAACCGAAAAAATAATTGACTTACATTCTGCTGGGTAAGCGACTCGAGATCATCTGTTTAAATCAATATTAAGCACACTCGAACGGACTAATCATTTTTACTGCTAATTTCTCCCATAAAACATCAAGGGCAATGTTTTCCACTATTGCTGACCTACCCTTCTGCCATATTTCGGATTTTCACACCGAACCGATTTTCTAAAACATGCGATGTTAATAT